CCCCCCCCCCCCTAACTCTAACAATCTAATATTTGGTTATTGGTTAATCACAAAATCCATTAGTTTTGCATTTTTTTATTATAGGAAATTTATTTCCATTGCAAACCATACGTTTGTTTCTTTTGGATCGTACAAAGATCTTAAAATCCAGTAATTTGATGATGTGTCATTAGTTTTTAGTTTTTTTTAGTCAACGCATGACTTGCAACATTTGATGCCGCAAATTTGGCCACAACAAATTTTGTATGTTTTTTCTACAAATCCAATTATCATTTACAACAACCTTGTTGCAAATCAAACACTGGAAAATATAAATTTGGTTCCAACACCTACGGATGCGAAAAAAACATTTCTTGTCAATCAAACATTCCTAACACTAACATACTGGTGTGTGCAATTATGTTAAATTTCTATTCAAACAATCCCTCTACCCTGCATGCTAATTTATATATAGAGATGATAATTGTGTATGATTTTTTTGTCCAAATGATTGTGACCATTTAGCTATAGCCTTCAATGTAGAAAATGTATAGATTATGCTCTTCATTGTTTCATTTGGTAACAGAATAGCTAAATTTCTTTGCCAAAAAATGTCAATAAAGGCAATTTTTTATAGGTTTTTGAAAAACCGTGAACGCTTCTGTTCAGCAAGTATACCTATTTCTAGAAGACAAATTATCGATAAGAGGAAAAAGTGGAACAAACAAATTTTAGTTCCATTAAAATGTGCAGCAAAATATTTTAATAGATGTGCCCATTGATTAGAAAAAGGATACACACATAGAGGAAGAGGTTTCATATGAAGCATACACGGTGACAGTAATATTTTTAATAACAGAACCTGATTGTGTCAAGTAAACCACTGAAACTAAGACACCAGCACTACCTCAGAAGGATCCAAAACCAAGAGATGGCAGTGCGCGCGTCATATTTCATTCATAATGAGTACGGTAGCCATGGTTGATTTTGGTTCATGCGTGGTGGAGAACTAATTAAGAGGCCTCTTACAATATTGAAGGAAGAAAATAGGCAGGTGAGGTTTTTACATTGTATGTAAGTACTGAGGCTATTACTCTTTCATGGATTGTAATTCATAATGAAAGATAGAAACAACAAAAACCAGCAAATTATAAACATTGATGCAGGAAACCAATAAAACCTCCGAGCCATGATACTGGCAAAATAAACCAAACTAAGCTGGGAACCTTAAATCTTTTATCAAACTTAATCGTCATTGCACAATGAGCCACTTTTTCTCGTCAAGCCTCATACCAACCTGGAGAAACAAAGTAAATAGCCTTTCAATTAATCTACTGCCATGCAAGGGTTTAAGAGCTAGAAAATGTAGCTGAAAGTGTATTGGAAAGACATACCTTCGAGATTTTCTCCGGATGACCAAAATTATTTTTGAAAATCCGACAAGATATACATAAAGAAAACTGCAAACAAAATTCTTTTGGCAATTTTTTTTCTTTTTTCTTTCAAAGCAACATATTAATTCTCTCAATGACGGAAATAGCTAAAGTAGCTATACTTCCCCTTTATACCTTTTTACCTCAGCTAAACCTTCATACCATTTTCTTCAACAACATTGGGGGCTAATCCCAGCAACTTCATCATACAGAAGTACTTCTTCGGCACTCTAGCACCAGCCTGCATACATAGCTCCACCACAGCCGGAGAATGACCATAATACCCCCGTCCAGCATCCCCAAGCACCTCAGGATCATGCGGCCGCCGGTGCCACAAAACCTTCGAAGGCACCAAATCGTCCACCCCCGCCTTCCTCCACCGGTGGGCCCCACGCCACCCCTCATACCTAAAAACCCCACAAGCGCGAACTTTATTGCC